CAGAGCTGTTCCACTACTGCGGCCGTGCGGCGCAGTGCACCGCCCGCCATCCGGCAAAAATAGGATCGATTCTATATTTGCCGGACGCCGGAGCACCTCCGCAGTCAATGGACAGAACTAACAACCGCCCAACAGGAAAGGGAGCAAGCACAACTATCGTTATTTCACAATAAATCGATAACAAAAAGCATTTTTTGTTTCATATGCACAGGTTTAACAACTTTTAACAACTATTAATGGCGGCTGAACTTTAAATGCACAAAAATAAGCCATAAATACAGTTTCCACTATCAAAGTCACACTTTGTTGATCCAAACACTGCTGATCTCTCAACACAAATAATAGGCAGATTAAACAGTTCATTTCGATGCTTCTCCCACACAACGAGTGTTTGGATCTAACTTCCGCGTTTATTGCTCGGACTGTATAGCAGGATCTCAAGAATCCCGCACATGCCTGTTTGTGCACCTCAGGTCTCCGTACCGGAGCGGAGCCGTTGCTGAGCGGGTACAGTATAATTTGAGTTCGGAAGCAAGCGGCAGCGGAGAGCGGGGGAGGAGTGGAGTGGAGTGGAGTGGAGTGGAGTGGAGTGGAGCGGAGCGGCGATAGTGGAATTTTGGGGTTAATGGTCTGTGTAAAAAAAGTGAATTTGTTTATATCGAGTGTCCGTTAAAATGCAGCTCTTACCGAAGCCTCCGTACATTTCTGAAAGACATTCAGGAGTTTTCCAAAATGTCTCAAGATGTTTGTGAGGGTTCCCGATAAGTTATTTTTTATGTTTAAAAATTATCAGGACATTTTTTTCTCTCGATGGTCATGGAGGTTTTAGCTTCTCAAACTCATCCGGAATCCGTGTCGGTTTGGTTTACGTGAAAAGTGTGAGGAGTGTGAGACAGCTTTTGGGGGGGGGGGGGGGTCGTTGTACCATGACACCGAGTTGAGAATAACTGGAAACATGAAAACAGAATCTGACATAATTTCCTAGACAATGTTGAGATGATTACAAACAAAAGAAGACATAACTAAGAGATTTTCTGTCTTGATTGGAATAAAAATGTTTTTACAACAAGCTCAAATTTTGCCACAGTCCCTTAAATGTAATAAGTGTAATAAGTGCTCCCTAACGTAAAACACCTAAAAGAACTAACACCAGATTTAACAATGTATTTATCTACTTATCAACTTACTGTGTATGACTCAGATTTGCTCGTCATCTAGAATTTTCTGGTACAAAGCTCACGGAACGGCAGGAAAAAATAGTTTTTTGCTCTGAAAAACAAGTGATAAATGACCTGGATGTATAGGCAGCCTAAGTCTCCTCCCCCTCCGGTCGGCTCATGGGTCCCGGGAAAAAGAAAAGATGAATGCAAGTCAACAGGGCTAAAAGCGATATTTTCTAATCCGCTTTGCCTTACGCCCTGGATTGTAATGCAATAAATGATGGGTGTTTTGACCATGTCGGTCACGTACTTTGAGAAATTAGCAAAACAGACATTGGCACGTCGCATTTGTGACATCACCACAGAATCTCCACTCCCTTAGTGTAGCAGCTACTTACCACATGGCCAGATTTATGGTAGTTCCTTCTGAAGGAAGGATTTGAAGTTTGCTGAACTACAGCCATTTTCCCTCAGTTTTCTCCGTGTCTGGTTCGATGACGTCACTTTCACGAAGCGCATTGGTAGTCCTGGACTTATTTTCACACAAAACCTAAAAAATCGTTTCCCCCGTTCGAAAAAAAGTGCTTTCTTGGTATCAAAATGTGTCATTAACTATCACGGACATCATATGTGAAGTCCATGGCACAAAACAAGTGGAATTAGAAAATAGCATTTTTAGCCCCGTTGACTTGCATTCATTTTTGTTCTTCCGGGGACCCGTGGGCCAGAAGTAGATGGGTATTTCTTGGACTCCCTATAGCGCCTTTCAGAGTCAGAGGACTCAGGGGCGTGTCCAGGGAGTGGCCTGGGGTAGCACATGCCACCCTTAGAATCTGATTGGCCACCCCCAGGTGCCACCCTACTAAGTTCCTGTTTCAATTGACTTTACATTGTCGACAAAAGGCTTGAGTTGTAAACTCCAAAATTGCGTGGTAGCATGCACCTTTAACACTATTTACTAGCCCAGGCGTACAGAACATTTCCGTAGTATTAATATTATTTTTTCATATTCATATAAATAGTATTTAGAGTCCCACTCAACTCCAGTTGGTGGCAATAATGCAACAAAAAGTGACTTGCTAACCACCACAAAACTAGAAGATGAATAGAAAAAAATGGTGATTGTGCAATGTGAAACTCCAAAATTCACTAGAAAGTAAATAAATAAATAAACGATTTGTGTTAATATATGAATAAGCATAACCATTGGTGCCACCCATGCATAAACAAGTGCCCCACATGGGCCACCCCATTTTAAAAGTCCTGGACACGGCTCTGAGAGGACTCCAAAGCACTTTACACTACAGTGTATAATTCATCCATTCACACACACATTCACA